AACCTACAAAATAAGGAGAGGTCAGATTTTTCAAAGCACTTGCCGATAAGCTTTTTAGTGTCCTTTAAAGTTCTCATGAATGGTGTCAAGTTTTCCAAATGATTTTCCTATCTGTTTTTGGCTCTCCAGACGTCTGAAATTGCCATTTAACTACATGGTAGGAAAGGTTTAACCATGTGAGACAGTACAGAGGAGACAAAACATATATGCAAAAATATGAAGTAAAATGTCACTCTTTAATCTTGGACAATCTTATGGACTACCCTAGCTTGTCCATATTAGAGTTTTCGTAGTAGTATTATGAACTCTGTTAGAAAAGCCACATTCTTCAGTATATCAAATAGAACCGATTCAGTCATTTGCCATGTGAAAAACACATAGCAACAAAACAGAGTCTTGTACAGTGCCTGACACACATAGACACACATATATTGTTGAATTAATCAATATTCTTTGACAACTTCTGCTAAACGGTTATCTAGAAAAAAACATAAGAAGCTCTTTCACTTCTTGGTCTTCAAAGATATTTCTAGATAGCTTCTACACTTATAATACTATTTCCATGATAGCCTTTGCTTTATTTAATATGCAGATAATATATACAAACAGAAAATTGTTAAGAAACAGATAGGCAAAATAAAGACATTTAATTGCTCTTAAATCGCCTGGAAATATTAACTTTTAGATTTCTATATAATCTTCCAACGATTTCCAATGCCTATACATTCATGTATGCATGCAACATGGGTATATTTTTTAAATAGGATCACAGAAAAATCTATAACATTGTTTTAATGCCTCATTCGGTATCTTATTGTACATTTTTACTAATTTATTTAACTACCCAAAATTGTTTAGACATTTATGACAAAGTACATCAAAAATAAGTTTATGATGAAGCATTATTGTAGTAAAATCTTTTTACACACGTTTGATCATAGTCTTAGAATAAATATTCCTAGAATCTGTATGCCAGAACTATGAATAAGTGCATTTTGTGGCTTTTAATCTTATACAAAATTGGCCCTTCATACAATGGGTAGAAACTGGGTGGGTCCACTTATACTCGAATTTTTTTCAATAAACATTGGGAATGTATTTTCTCTTATGATTTTCTTACAAGAATACAATATATAATACATATACAAAATATGTGTTAATCAGCTGTTAATGTGATTGGTAGGGCTTCCAACCAAGGGAAGGTTATTAGTAGGTAAGTTTTGGAAGAGTCAAAAGTTATACACAAATTTTTGTCTGTGCTGGGGGTAGGTGCTCCTGACCCTCTCATTGTTCAAGGGTCAGCTCTACTGCAAAATAATCTTGATTTTTTTATGTATATAAAAATTTTCCTCCTAAATAGTATGTTTTTTCCCATACCTAAAGGACACTAGATATATTTATTTTCAAACTTAGCCAGCTTTCATGGTAAAAAAAAGTGTACCTTGTTTTACTTTCCGTTGCTTAGAGGAAAGATGATAATCCACATATTAAAATAGAAATAATGCATAACATTTTGAAGCATCGTCTCATTGTGGATACTCTTAACCAATAACCCATACAAGTAGCTTTGGAGAACTAATAACAACTGTTTAAAAGGTACAATATATATTGAAGTCCTAGTGTTAAATGTTTCCCTTTTTTTAAAATCACTCAAAGCTTTTGCAGAAATTCCTAAAGCTCAATATATATCAGGATGTCTCAACTTAGGATGAGATATGTGTGGTTTTTTTTATTAGCACCTTCACCTTATCGTCAGACACTTAAAAATGTCTCAGCTGCTCATATTCTCTCTTTACCTCATGGCCCACTTGAGTTTTGCTTTAAATGTGTATGTTTGCATGTATGCACCCACACACATGTGTATATAAGTATACACATAGGCATATGAAACATAAATGTATTTGTACACACACACACACACACACACACGACCAGACCTTACACACTTCCCTAGTCTCCATAAATTAGCTACTGAGATGACATGAGCTAGCTACACTTGCTCTGTCCCACAAGTATGACAGGCTTGTCTTGGCTGTCTGAGGAGTGGGCAGAGCCCCACACAGTCATCATAACTGACATCTGTGGGCAAGATGCCAAGGTACACCTCAATCACGTGTGCCTACTGGAGAGTGCTCACTCACACACCTGCTTCAACGGTGTGAGTTCAGCCTGTGGGTTTTCCTTGATTGATGTTGGTATAACTGCTTCACTTTCTCTCTGGGTGAAGGGAAGTGGGCTCTGCTCAAAGCAGTTGTGGTGCTTTGCACTTCCACTTGATATTACACAAGGAAGAGCAAGTCACAGAGGTGGGCGCATGCGCTTATGGGCTCTCCACATCCTCACTGACAGACTGAAAAGGCACCCAATCTTAAAATAACAACAAAAAAAGGCTCTGAAAACCAGGAAACAAGCAAGCGAAGGAAGCATCTGTCTCTTTCATTCTGAAAAAGCCTGCCCGTGAATCATACACACACACACACACACACGCACACGACCTTTACTACCATCTCCAGAGGATCGCCGACTGTACTACCTCCAGGACCTCTTGAGACTTTTAGTTTTTCTTAGTTAAGTGAATTTGTTTCTTGCTCAGACTATAATAGTATTCATGGGATCATTCTGACCCACAAAAATAAGGGGAAAAATGCCTACTTGAGCAAACTTCACAACTTTCAACAAGGTTCAATCTAACCTAAGAACAGGTTGTGATAAATCATGTCCAGGTGGATGGCATTTCATCTTTTCACATCCATTTATTTTCAAAACAAACATTAAGTCTGTTAAGGTAAAAACCCAATTCTGGATCTTGTCTGCCATTCATGTCCCCAGATGAATGATAAGACACC